GGCTCGGCCATGAGCCGAGCCACCCCAAGGTGGCTAGGCACAGTGTCGGCCACCCCGAGGTGGCCGACAGTGGCCCGAGGTGGCCGACAGTGGCCAGAGGTGGCCGACAATTCTCTTTTTGCAGCCACTGTCCTGAGAGCCTATAAATAGGCCTAGAGATGTTCATTTGAAGAGGTGGAACTTTCAAGAGCCGAAACTATGCCGGATCGAAGAGTGAACTCGGAGCTTGAAGACCAGAAGACTTGCACCATTCAGATCTGATCCTCGGCGACCATCCACGTCAGAAAAGGCAGGATCTCGAGAGGAAGAAAGAACAGATCTGAGATCTACACGAGGCTACACTCCAGATCTAAGCTTGGTCTTAGATCTCGAGATCCGAGCGATTATTCCCTTGGTGGATTAATCCCTCCCGGCTATTATTCCCTTCGTGGAATAATACCCGCATACTCGTGTAGATCCGACCGGATCTAGATCGCGCGGTGGTCCACGGATTAACCCCGGCGCAGGCAAAGAACCCACCAAAGCGAGCGACCGCAAAACAGGAGCTCGTGATTTGTTCACAGAGGAGAGTTGTAATTTTTCTTTATTTTCTTTGATTTAGTTGTAACCGGATCTATAAAAGACTGGATCTTTTGTAACTCGAAAAGTTGTAACTCAAGATGACAATTATCTCATTAATGAAGAAAGCAACAGTTTTCCACGCGAACAGCGTGTCCATGGTTAATTTGAAATTCCCCTCAGCTAACCCACAACCCCTTTTAACTGTTTGATGCACGCATCGCGCGCAATGGAGTACTAGTCCTCTATAACGTAAATGTGAATTTTTTATCTAAATGTTTATATATCACACTCACATGCTAATTGATTACAAATGTCATATGAGAATGCTCCCGTGAAAATCTTTACATTTGCACAATTGAGAGTATTAATATGCCGATTTTTAACAGTTTAAGGTATAAAAATGTCATAGAAACAAGTAAAGGTATATGAGTACAAAGTGAATGAAACTATATGGTATTTTAGTGCTATTTAGCCTGCAAATACTATGAATCCAAAAGCAATTTAAATGGCTAAAATACTAGATTAACCTAAAAAGTGACACTCATTTACTAATTTAGCCTAGAAAGTGACCCCGACGACAGTTTAGCCTAAAAGGTGATAAATACGATGGCGAATAGGCATTTTCGGTGCTGGAGATAATTTTTAAGAGCAAAATTAAATAATTTTTCATATATAGACCCCCGCTCGATCATATTTTTTGAATTAAACCCCCCAAAAGTTTCTGAAATTATAAAAAGAACCCTCACTTCCCACCATCTCTTCTTTCTCTTTCCTCTTCCTCCTCCCTCATCCTTCCCACTATCTCCTCCATTCTCTTCTCCTCCAATCCCCAACTTTCTTTCCTCTCTCATGCTCCTCCATCATTTCTCATGCTCATTTTTTATGAATCTTATCTTCTCCTTTCCACCATCTCCTTTATTCTCTGTTCCTCCCAATCCCCAACCTCCCCTCCTCCTCGTGCTTTCTCAAACCCATCATAAAGCATTCTACTTGAAGCATTAGGGGGGAGTGAGGGAAAGGAGAGAAAAGAGAAGAAAAAGGACAAAGAAGAGAGAGAAGTGAAAGAAGTTAAGAAGAGATGGACTTGGAGAAAAAGAGAAAGAAGAAAGTAATATGGAGGACATGGGAAAAGAGAGAGAAAGAAAGTGAGAAAGAAGAGAGGTTAAGGATCGGGATAAGAAAATAATGGAGAAGATGGTGGGAAGGAGGAGCTAGGGAGGAGGGGGTGGGAGGGGAGTTGGAAGAGAGAGAAGTTTTTTTTCCATATATTTTAGAACTTGAGGAGATGAACCCAAAAATATAAGAGAGTGAGTGGCCTATATGAAAAAATCAGTTATTTTTTTGTTTAAAATTGTCTCCTTCGTTTAAAACTATTTATCTATCATCGTATTTATTACTTTTTAGAATATTTTAGATTAAATTGATAAAGAGATGTCCCATTTTAGCCCATTTTAATATTTTAACCAAATGTTTTTAGATCGGTAAAAAATAAAGAGCAAAGAGGACCCGAGAAGTCTCCCCTCATGCGCAGGGCATGATGCTTACAAAATGTAGAATAGAATCTTACGAACATTTTCTCTCTCTCCTCTCTCTCTCTCTCTCTCTCTCTCTCAATTTGTCCCTGAAAGCTCTCCTCAAAAGGAGCCATAGACTCGTTCCAAACTCCTCCCTTTCTCTCTCTCTCCTCTGTTACCAAGATTACATTTTGAAGCTCTTATCAACTCTTTATGGTTTTTTTTAGGTGAAATATGATCCTTCTACGCCCTTATCGTCATCTAAAATTTGAATTTTAGGTTGGATTCGCTTCTATCCAAACATTAAACTTTGCTTTTGCTTTCGAAATTGTTTTTGTTGATTTATTTTGGTAGGGCTGGAGTGCGTTGGGAATTTAGTGTTATTTATTTTTTGAGGTATAGACATTAATGAATAATACGCT